CTGGTCATAGCACTAAGATGACATTGTATATATTCAGTTATTAACAATTAAATGCTGATATGTTGAAGTTAATGACTTAGTCAGAAAAACCAGAAAGAATATAAATTTATATAAAGGTCTGGGATAGCTATGGCAAATTATTATCTTTGAACTAGGAGAGAATATGACTGATTGAAACACACTTCTTTACCATTTCCAGTTTCTCAATTTTTTCAGAAATATAATCTTAGATTTGCTATTATTCAGGAATGTTACTTTATACCTTTTTTCAATCTATTCTTTAGTTTATGTGTAATAGAACATTAAATTGCTATTAAAACATACATTGTGATTAATAAAAAAACATTAAGTCAGGCTGTCTCAGGCTTTTATTCTTTATTAATTGTAACTGTTTATAAACATTCAGATCATTGAAAATAATGTCAGTTTCATCAATTAAAATATCACATCTTAGTCAAAAGTCAGGAAAGCATCTAAATGGGTACAAAGTCATTAACTCTATCTTAATGTGTACCCTGTCAATAAGTCAAAACTGTAAACGCAATAAATTCATAACTTTAGCATCATTTTCTTGCATTAGCTATTATTTTGTATTTCTAACATGCACTTACCCAAGTATGAATAAAGTAAAGATCATTATAAAAGTAGAAGAGCAAGAAAAAGGTGAAGTTGTAAATTTTGGGGAAAAAATAAAATGCAATGGATTGAAAGGATCACTTATAATATCTTTAGATTGTTTCACCCAACACAAAATGCGATATTTAATGCAGATATAATTATACAACTTTGTAAACATGTCAGCATGATTGTGATCATCTGGTAATATGTGCTTCATGTTAGATGGAACGAATCTGTCCTAAGGGCTTTAAGGGCATACTAAACATTTAGCAGTCAACATCATTGTTTAAAACCCAAACACTTGTCACCTTTATGACATATATTAGTAGGATGGGGACTTTCTTTCACAAATCAAACTTGTAACCAGCAAGTAAAAGGAGATTATTATGGTGACAAATGTTTTTCAGAATTTTGTGTAATATGATCACATCACTGGTTTCTTGCTAGAGTTGTTTCTGCTCCCCTTTCCCCCAAATTCTTTACTTTCTTCAAACAGTTGGCCTCCTGTTTCAATTAATTTGGTAGATATCTTTTGTGATGAAGAAGCCAGTGCCCATGAAAAATAGATGCAAAGACTAGTCAGTGTAAGGTTTCAGTGTTATTGGTAGTAAATTTTCACAAGTGATTCTTTTAGTTCTAACAGAATATCTCTCAATTTATTTTTTCAATCTACCAAAGTGTAAATAAATCCTCCATGCTAAATGTGCAACCTTCTCCTCTCTTCTAGAGATTTCTTTGAATATGTGCATTAACCCAGTATGGCTTACATCATCAACCCATGCATTATGTGACATTATTTTTGTCAGTACATTTTATTGTTATGTATAAATCTTTCTTTTTCTTTATGACAGTAGGTATTATGTATATTTAATTTATATTTTGTGTTTGACATTTGTCCATAATTGAGGATATAGTTTTGTGTAACTGATTTTTTTTCATGTTTGTAAGTTATAAAAATGTTGGTACTATTATTTGAGTTCAAGCCTTATTTATAAACTTTGACTGTTCTAGAAGCAAACTTGTGACACACATCCTGGGCACATTCTTTAATCTTTGCCCATGCAGTCAACTGTTTATAAAGCAATAGTCTGGGTTGCGGATCTCCAGTAACTATTGGACCCGGAAAAGAATATACCTTGACTTGGTTTGCAAATGACCAAAAGGCAAAAAGAGATGAAAACTGTCTATAATCAACAAAACACAGCTTTCATAAGAGTGTTTAAAGATGGCTTATTGAAATATGCCCAAGAAATAGCAAGAGCTCTGACCTCATGGACTTATGCTCTCATTAAGAAGACTGTGAGAGATGCATAAATTGTATCTATGTTGATCACAATTGATCAACAGATAGTGGATGCTAAAATAGCATCTGAGCTTTTTGTACCAATTCTTTTCCATTGTGCAAAGTCTAAATAGAATCTATGTGTCCTAACTGAACACAAATAATCATCAATCATCCCCAGCACAAGGAAACTGGGAAATATAATCAGGGATGGAAATACTAATTGAAGTTGGGGTTGGGGTGCATGGAAATCTGGCTTATTCTCAGGAATATGATGAACTGAATCCAATCCTTCCTGACTTTGCACTGTGTAGATGGCTCTGAACTTCCATGTAGAGAGGAGGAACATGATTATCTCATTATCATCTGAGGTACACAATAACTGATGTGTTAGAGGAGACGTTTATCTTGTGAACATTGTTTATGCACCATTTTATTGCAAAAAAATCATGGTATTCATTTCTTAGTTGTTGATGAGGAAACATGATTGGATTTCTCCTTGTCGGGAATCAGTCCTAGCTGAGCCATTAGAGACCACTGGTGGGTTTGTGACATGAGGTGCATGTATGTTGTTGTTTTTGTATTGCAGCCAGTTGTCAAAGTATAGTATCAGTGAAGTCTCCATGAACTTTAAATATGACTCCAGATACTCAGGAATTGTAATGCTTCCTTTGCTATCAGGAAACAGAAATGTTTTGTGCAGAGGAAACATTGTGATGTGGAAGTATGCATCCTGAAATCAATGGAAACTGACCATTTGGCCAGTTTGATAGCACTGTGAACTAAAGTTGCAGTTTATACCTAGAAAGGTTCCTCCTATAGAAATGTGTTTATGGGGAAAAGATCTATAATAATAAAATTTTCACCCTTTTTAGGAACCAGAAGTTTCTGGTAGTAGAAAGCTGATGACTATGTTCTGTACACTGCCTACTGTGCCTGCGGAAGAAACACTTCTTGCTTTCACTTTAATCAATATAATTAATGAAAGAATATCTGCACCCTTGAGATGTTGTTGTGGTCCCTAAAATCCTCATAAGCAATAGTGAGAATGAAACTGCCAAATATGGTCTCAGATCCTGTGAGAAATATGTTACTCCTCACATGTAGCAACAGATTTGTGTCATGGAAGATTCTAGTACCCCATGTGTGTGATGGTCAGTGCCTGGTGACTGGTGGTTTCTACATAATGTTAAGCAACTGGTCACTTACAATGGTGCTCTAGATTTGGGGAACTTTCCTCAGAACTACATGAGCTAAAGCAACATCTGATCCTGTTAGCGAAGAGTAATCTACTCTTTACCTGACTTTCATTAAACTCTTGCTCCTCTCCTGAAAGGTAGTCATAGGGATATTACTGTGCTTGACCTTGGTAAAATGCTTCCATGCCCTTGAAAGTTGGGTGGTTTGCACTTGAATCTATCAAGCTTCTTGCCCTTTATGATAGAAGCTGCCTTCTTTTAGAAGGCATGAAATCTTGCCTTCCTCTTCAAATATATGTTTGCTAACTTTCATAAATGTCCAAAATGACAATAAATGGGATATCCATCTGCCTGTGTACAATTGTAAGTAATGGTCCTGGGTGCAAGAAATAGTAATATAATTTTTTAAAAATTACAGATGAAATATAATAACTACATGGTTTGTATCAGCCTCATTGACTATTCTTTGTTTTTATGAATAAGAATGTCAGATTTTATTCATTTTATTAATTTTACAAAATATAAACACACTGGAATATCATTGCTGAGTTGAAAAATGTTATAAAAACATAGATAAAACATTTGAGGTGACTGGAAGCTGTCTAAAAAAAAATTGTTTTTTTTATGTTGTGACAATGCCATTGTATTAATAACAATAATGACATAAATTAACATTGGAACCATGTCAATTGTAAACAATGAATGGACATTATTTGAGGAGCAGTGATGCTAATTACATATTCTTATCACAATGTCCCACTCTCTACATAAGAAGAGGGGAGGTAAGCTTTGTCATGTGGCAAAGCAGAATTACAAAATTGTTAATATTATTATGCCAAACAATAATTGTTTTGATAGGTATTGGCAGAGGATAATTTAATTGCAAAGAATTATGAATCTGAAAAAAAGGAATTTTGCAAAACCAACACATGTAGATATTGTACATCTTCATAATTTTTCTTTCCATGTGCTAATTCAATGATCATCCAAAAAATAATGGAGATGCATTAATCACACAGGTCTATGATGTAGGCCAGACTGGGTCAGTGCATGTGTATTAAAAAAAATCTATAGAACTAAGAGTTAAGCCTAGTGCATCTAGCATGGATCAGGTATTTCAACTGTTGAAATGTAAAGCTGAATAACAGGTAACTTATTGCTGACTTTTAAAATTGATGATAACATTTTTATTAAAATAAATAATTGTAGCAGTTCTGCTCATGTGACTGAAATCTAAATCTATCTGAATTATGCTCATCCACCTTTGTAACATTTATGTATATGTACTGTTATGTAAATCTATATTGTATGTTTAACTTTAAGATATTGATCATTTGTAAACAAAAAGGTTAATTGGATTTGAAACTTTGGTCTACCTGATTTTTGTCTGATAGTTTTCTTTTGTGTAACCATAGAGACTTAACTTTATTTATGAATTGAATGGAAATTTCCACTGGAAATGGTCTAAGTCCAGGGCATTTTGTTGTTTTATAAGTCAGTTAGAATGACCAAGTAAATAATTATTCATTCCTATTTTAATATCAGAGTAGAATCAGATTTAGTTGTGTTCAGTTATGACTTTAGAGGAATTATTTATTTAAGTTATTCACTGAATTAAAATGTGCTAATTGACATTTTGGACAATGTGTGTGTGTGTGTGTGTGTGTGTGTGATTAGGATTTTAACATAGCTTTAAAAAAATTTCAGTCATATCTCTATGATATCTGCAGTGTGGCAGTTTATAGTGATGTCTAGCACCGGGCATATCATGCTGCAACATGTACCATGATGTCCCACCCAGTCATATTATCCTGACACCAAGCCGACCAGTCCTAACACTAGCCCTTAATGTTGAGTGCCATGCAAGGCAGCTGTTAATACAATTTTGTAAGTCTTTGGTATGACTTGGCCAGGGATCAAACCCAGGACCTCCCACATCTGAGGCAGACTCTTTAACCACTAGGCCACCAGAACAGCCACATTTTGGACATAAACACTATTGGGAGTATTATGAATTCATTTAAAGTCATTCTGGATTATATCATTGTGATACATCAAGACTGTAGGCACATAGGAACATTCATTCAGAACACTACTAGAATTCATTTGGAATGCTCTTTACTTTTGAACTTTGAATACAAAATTTTAAGATTATTTGGAATTTAAGTCACAATACTGCAAATTTATCTTACAGTTTATCTTTATAACATAGGGAAATAAATCATTTGTTGAAATTTATGAAACTTCATACTTCTGCTTTTTCTGTTAATTAGTTTAAGAGCATATAGTCATTGCACTATATAAATACTGTTTTCTACCATCTTGAGGTATCTGAGTAACATTTTAGAACTTCAGTTAGGATGTTAGTAATATAACCCAAACTTTTTTGTATACACAAGTTAATAAAAAAACATGCATTGACAGATTATGAAAGAAGTTTTGCAGAATTAAGATGTTCAAAATATTTGTGCCTTGTTATAAATATAACACATGGAAATATTCATTTTGCCATTTTGCAAACAGGATTGCAAACCGCATTACACTGTCAAATAGTTGTGTGAGTTGAGTCAATAGCACATCAGGAGCACAGAAAATTGCCTCTGAGAGCTTTATTAGTTCTTAAAAAGTATTCCACAAACTTCTTTAAAAGCACCAATTCCAAATGATCAATCAATGAATTAATAGGTTTTGAAATAATTTCATTTTATGTCAAATCATCAAATGCTTTAATGTAAAAAAATTTGAGGATTTATATATTTATTCCTCTGCATTATTGATATCTGTCAAGATTCCTCTGCATTATTGATATCTGTCAAGATTCCTCTGCATTATTGATATCTGTCAAGATATCTTACAGGTCATAATGTTTCTTGGAATATTTCTTTGAATGAAGCTCTAAAACAAATTTCACAAATTATTACAAAACTTACTCTGCCTTCAGACAGTGTGTGCGATATCCTTCGTGTAAAAAGTTGTATGAAACATCTATGATACAGCTTGATCCATATAATATTGCTGGCTGCACAAAAACTCCAGACAAGGAAACAACTGCATGACTGAAATATAAAGGGAAACAATAATGATCGAAAAGATAGTCATGTAGACCCTGTGGATGCCACTGAATCTCAGAAGTGAAATTTACCAGTGACATCACATACAAATTTGTCATATGATGTTTAATGGTGGCATTTATGCAAGAAACTATCATAATTCTGGTAAAAGTAATTCCTAAAATTGTGGCAGTACCACAGAAGATACTTTTAAATGTTATAAATGCCAGTAAATATCACAGATGATATCAAATATTGAGTCCAAAATCCAACAAGGTGTTTGTCTGTTCATCCATTTCAAAATCATCTGCACCAATGGATATTCATCCCATTATCATTAAATCATAAATAAATGTATGGATGGAAGAATGTATCAACAACAACCACATGGCAAAATAATAAATATTTTGGTGCAATTAACAAAGGAGAATGTACTTAATTTTCGGTGATGGCAATCAATGATATTAGAATGATTAGTTACTAAGAAGGAACATTCTAGAGCAGTAGATGTAAAAAGTTTGAACATTCTAGAACTGTGAAGAAAAGGTAGTTAATAAATTTGTAAACTCGGTAGAGGTTGATATGGCAAGAAGTTTCCCATTATAAAGTGTATCAAGGCTGCTAGTTTAGGAGTTTTGGTGATTTGTGCCATAGGATTTGGTGCAACTTTATTATGGTTTATTGCAAAAGGTTTTAAAGACAAGTTTATATATATATATATATTAAAGTTTTAAAACAATAAGTTTGTAATTTCTGCGATAAATGCACTGAATAATACTAAAGTATAATGAAATCAGCCATAAAGAAATAAGTCACTTCAAAATTAATATGGTTGTTAATGAATAAAATAAATAGTTGCAAGGTTGCAGTGGGTCATCAGAGCTGTTGTCATTAATTGACACAGCCTAGCTATATTACTCTGTCAAAAACAATCAATGAAAGAAATATATTTTTCAAATCCCAATAGGAGATAATAGAGATTGCAAATTATACCTTTCATTAGAAAGAATAAGTTTTGTAGTTGTGTATTACAATATTTCAAATGATTAGATATTCTATGATGTGAATGATATGAATAAAACAATGACCACGTCAATACCTGAAGAGTTCTATAATTAGAAAGAATAAGTTTTGTAGTTGTGCATTACAATATTTCAAATGATTAGATATTCTATGATGTGAATGATATGAATAAAACAATGACCACGTCAATACCTGAAGAGTTCTATAATTAGAAAGAATAAGTTTTGTAGTTGTGCATTACAATATTTCAAATGATTAGATATTCTATGATGTGAATGATATGAATAAAACAATGACCACGTCAATAACTGAAGAGTTCTATAATTAGAAAGAATAAGTTTTGTAGTTGTGTATTACAATATTTAAAATGATTAGATATTCTATGATGTGAATGATATGAATAAAACAATGACCACGTCAATACCTGAAGAGTTCTATAATTAGAAAGAATAAGTTTTGTAGTTGTGTATTACAATATTTAAAATGATTAGATATTCTATGATGTGAATGATATGAATAAAACAATGACCACGTCAATACCTGAAGAGTTCTATAATTAGAAAGAATAAGTTTTGTAGTTGTGTATTACAATATTTCAAATGATTAGATATTCTATGATGTGAATGATATGAATAAAACAATGACCATGTCAATACCTGAAGAGTTCTATAATTAGAAAGAATAAGTTTTGTAGTTGTGTATTACAATATTTCAAATGATTAGATATTCTATGATGTGAATGATATGAATAAAACAATGACCATGTCAATACCTGAAGAGTTCTATAATTAGAAAGAATAAGTTTTGTAGTTGTGCATTACAATATTTCAAATGATTAGATATTCTATGATGTGAATGATATGAATAAAACAATGACCACGTCAATACCTGAAGAGTTCTATAATTAGAAAGAATAAGTTTTGTAGTTGTGCATTACAATATTTCAAATGATTAGATATTCTATGATGTGAATGATATGAATAAAACAATGACCACGTCAATACCTGAAGAGTTCTATAATTAGAAAGAATAAGTTTTGTAGTTGTGCATTACAATATTTCAAATGATTAGATATTCTATGATGTGAATGATATGAATAAAACAATGACCACGTCAATACCTGAAGAGTTCTATAATTAGAAAGAATAAGTTTTGTAGTTGTGCATTACAATATTTCAAATGATTAGATATTCTATGATGTGAATGATATGAATAAAACAATGACCACGTCAATACCTGAAGAGTTCTATAATTAGAAAGAATAAGTTTTGTAGTTGTGTATTACAATATTTCAAATGATTAGATATTCTATGATGTGAATGATATGAATAAAACAATGGCCATGTCAATACCTGAAGAGTTCTATAATTAGAAAGAATAAGTTTTGTAGTTGTGTATTACAATATTTCAAATGATTAGATATTCTATGATGTGAATGATATGAATAAAACAATGACCATGTCAATACCTGAAGAGTTCTATAATTAGAAAGAATAAGTTTTGTAGTTGTGTATTACAATATTTAAAATGATTAGATATTCTATGATGTGAATGATATGAATAAAACAATGACCACGTCAATACCTGAAGAGTTCTATAATTAGAAAGAATAAGTTTTGTAGTTGTGCATTACAATATTTCAAATGATTAGATATTCTATGATGTGAATGATATGAATAAAACAATGACCACGTCAATACCTGAAGAGTTCTATAATTAGAAAGAATAAGTTTTGTAGTTGTGCATTACAATATTTCAAATGATTAGATATTCTATGATGTGAATGATATGAATAAAACAATGACCACGTCAATACCTGAAGAGTTCTATAATTAGAAAGAATAAGTTTTGTAGTTGTGCATTATAATATTTCAAATGATTAGATATTCTATGATGTGAATGATATGAATAAATCAATGACCACGTCAATACCTGAAGAGTTCTATAATCTTGAAATGATAAAAGTTAAAGAAGGAACAACTACTAAAGATGACAAAGAAGAAAGCATGTAGATATTGAAAGATCCAAACATAACTCCCAAGTTTGAATTACTCACAGTAATCATAACATAATGTATATAGCCAACCACAAACTTTAAGATTTATACATCTATTGAATGGGATTAATTTTTTGGAGTTTTAAATCTTAAGAACTAATTTATTTTTCTTGAATTATTGTAATGGCTCCTTCCCTTTATTAGAGTGGCTACACATTACAAATTATTTGTTTATCTCAGATAAAGTTAATTGTTTAGATAGACAATGACAAAATCTACTGTAAACATAATAAGTACTAAAATTATTGATGAAGACTTGAAAGTAATTGATTTTAAAGATATGTTAGTTAAATGCATCATTTAAATGATGACATAAAGGTCATAGTAATTTTAGCTTTAAATTTACTGAGAAATATCAAAATGATGAAGAATTAAGTAAAACAATAACAAATTACATAAACTAGAACCATAGTCATATTATAAATATAATGGTTTCAGGAGTCTACATTTATGTTTTAAAAATTAGTTGTTTATAAACTACTAATCCCTATCAATCCAGACTCAAAAATATCTAAGGTCAAAATTTATTGATTTCATAGTCAAATTCTCACTAGTTTACTAAAGATATTGACATAAATGGATCTTTGCCATTGATTATACTCTATTTTCTTAGAAACTATGGTGTAACAATATATTTATTCTCATTTTCCTTTGCTTTATTATTTGCCAAGGTTGTTTTTCTTCCTCACAAAGTATATAGGAAACCAGAATTTTTTTGACTGATTCAATAGGTTTTGCTTATTCCCTCTTGGTTGTTTTACAGAAAACCTCAAACTTGTAAAGACTTACCACTTGGAAGTATTGTCTGCATTTGTATACACAAACAAATGACATGTTTGGTTGACTCCA